TGTGTCGAAACAAAGATCTAGAGAATGTGTCAGTGAAGCGGTTTTACGAGCTTTACGAGGAACGACCAATGAAGAGTGTCCACAGGCGGAAGCGTCAGCGAACTGATGAGGAGAAATGGCCTTTTATGGCTGACACTGGGCATTCGTGCATCCATCAGCGATCAAAGGAACGACGGGGTGTTAACTGGTGAAACTTCAGCGGGAGTAATTTTGAGGAAAGAAGAAGCATTGGTTCGGGTTCCACAATGGGCCTTCTCAGATGCAGGCGGTTTTGGTGCGAATATCCTGACGTGTCCTACTGGCGAACTGAACCAGGCAATGGATACTTATGCGGAAGTGCTATTGGGTTTGTACTTGCCGCATCGATGTTTGGCTGATTTAAAGAAGTCCGTACCCCAGACCAACTATGCTTTCGCTGAAAGACTTCGTGAAGTGTATGAATACGATGTTCTGAGAAAAGGAATAACGAAGAACCCGTCGTCTTCTCAGAAAGAGAACCTGTCATTCATCCAGAAACATTCAAGACACCGCTTTCAACAACCCGAGAGTATAAGGTGAAAGAGGATGATCTTCAACGAGTTACCAAGCCCTATAGACCGGAACATTGGGAGGAGAACATGTACGAAAACGAATCTGATGATGAGCACGAACATGAGGAAGATGATCTGATTCAAAAGGTTTACGAAGATTGGATACGTGATCTTGAGAGCCAGGGCACAACAGATTCAAACCGGGACTTTCTGGCAAGCACATTTGATGGTCTTAGTTTTACGGCTATACGTCACAATGGAAGCGACAACGCAGGATACAACGTGCAGTTACCCATTCCTGAGAATTCGTTAGATGAAGACGAATTTGTTACCATAAGTGCTGACTTTCACACGACTGGCACTACAAAGAGAAGCAAAGTGAAACCGCCTACACCTCGATATCACAAGATCATTGAAGTTCTACTTAACAAACGGGAGTGCATCCAAAGGGCAAATGTATTTAAGTACAATCCGCAGGTTGAAGTGTCGCAGGCGAATGGAAGCGTGTAGAAGTATAAGTGACTGGGCAACGGCTGCCAATCTGGACAGACAAACAGAGAAGGGCTTTCGAGTGTATCATTGCAGCCTTCTTGTTGACATTTTATGAGGAAGCTGAAAAGGTGGACTTAGAGGATGGAGTCCGGATATGGGGTTGAAGGCAAAAGTCCGACTTTCTCGTAAAAACCTTTGATTTTGAAGGGAAGTCGTGGCACCCAACTGATTCTTCTTCTACATGGGCCTGGAGGAAGTGGGAAACTACCGTAATTGACTTAGTCATGGCCTATGGCAAAGAATTCTGCAGTTTGATTGATCATCCATTTAACGACCGAACCATTGTTGTCACTGCTATGTCGGGGGTTGCTGCTACAATACTGCATGGGGAAACAACGCATTCAGCTGTGGGATTGAACAGAACTCGGGAAAGTGTGGCGAAGAACTTGGTAGAAGAATGGAGTGACGCACGGATGCTTATCATCGACGAAATTTCATTCGCGGGGGAACTTGACTTAGTGAAGATATTCCACTACACCAAGACCTTGATGCAAGACGAATACCAACCATTTGGGGACTTAACTTGGTGTTCGCGGGGACTACTCTCAACTTAACCAGTGGGACGCCCCCCAATTTACAATCTTCAGCACACCATTCCTGAATTTCATGACTCTCTGAATTCATTTATTGAGTTAGATGAATGCACCGCTTCAAAGACGATCCTGAATGGGGGCAACGCTGTTTAAGATTCCGTGAAGGGCGACCAACAGAAGAAGATATTGAGACCATCAATGACGCCTGCGTGGTTGGCCCAACCCATGTTCCACAGAGAACATTCAAGTTGCTACTTATCTGAATCGAGATCGAGATGCCATTAACTCAGCTATCTTCGAAGAATTTTGCGGGAAGAACAAACCTGCTGATGATTCCGTGCTGATGGATGCAGTACTCATTTTCATGGACGATCTTCAAATGGCCAATCAAGCAGGGACACTGGTTCCTGTTAAGAGCAATTCGGTTTTAAAGCACTTCTTTTCAACATGTGGAGAAGACTCCTTAAAACCCGGTTCGGACCACGAAAACGTGTTGATCCTGCTTTGAAGTTATATAAGGGTGTGTCCTGAATTTTTACAGAGAACACGAATTGTTCCGAATGGAGAAGCCAATTGGATCTCGGCTTTTTGTGAGAAAGGTGAATGTGAGGCATGGTTTGCACCCCCATGATTATCAACTCGACATACGGCTGCAAGATTCGGGCGTTTTTCTCAGGTCAAGTCAAATCTATTCTTGTGGAACATGAAATGGAGGACTATTATGCCACGTACTTTTTATGTACACGGAGCAGGACTACACTTTCAGACCAGATGGTGTTATGACGGAGAAGTTGTACACACCAAGATGAAGGTAAGCAGTTCCGATTATCAGCAATTCTGCAACAACTGGACACAAATTACAGGGATATACTGCAGTGTGTTTATTGGTACATCATGGCGATACTGTCAAAAACTGGGTTTACGTGGTGTTATCAAGGTGCGAACCATGAGTGTTTGTTTTTATTGAAGAAGCTGGATTGGATCCAAAGAACTTTGCCATGCCACAACGAATGAGAGACATGCTGCAAGATTTAAGGATACTATGGGGCTTTCTGTCCTAGGAGAAGATCAATACGAGAAATGTTCCAGCGAGAAGACGGGTTCTGTTATAAGTATAAACGGTAGGATATAGGGTAAATTAATCTATATATAAAACTTTTATACTACAACTACCTTTCTGAGTTCGCATTGCACCTCGTAGTCATTCAATGTCAGTCATTGAAAAAAGATAAGGTCCAATCAAATCAAAGGCGACCCCGAAAAATTAGGAGCAACTTTTAAAATGTGAAGAAACGCAAGGCGACTTTCATGTTCATGTACATGCGTTGACTGTATCCCGTCAATACAATACTAGTCAGTCGAATACGTAGACTTCTACAGGGCCTTCTAAGTAATGCGCGCCGGGTATAATTCAAACCTCTGCCCCCATCGGTACCATTACCCCTAAAGCAAATCGTCTCCAGGAGACGAAATACCGGTACTACTAGTAGCGGTAGTGTTTCCATGGGTCCTGGACAGAGATTGAAAGTACCCCGTCGGTTGCCATACGCTGCGTCTACAGATACAGATTGAACATTCGCTTGCCGTGGCTAGATTATGATACATGTCATGTGTGCTCTCCACTGCTCATTTGCAGGCAAGAAATTAGTGTGGAACCAGTCTGCAAATAGCTAGCACGGTAGCTTTGGGGCCATTGAATGATTCAACAATTCTGGAAAGCAAAGCAGGCTTCCGTAGCTATTAATTAATAATCTAACTTTAAAACTACTGGTACTGGTACCTACTCTAAGCCCCCCTTGTTATACCATGCCAATCCATCTGGATGTCCTCGGCAGTTTAGAATATTTGACTGTCAATCGAACAAGTGCAGGAAACCGGACAACCATGCATGCATCTAGGCAGCTAGCACTAACGTAGCTAGCTAGCACCTGCTTCTGCTGCGGGGATGTTCGGAGCCAAACCTTGAGCCAAACCTTGAGCACCGGGCATGAGAGAACTCTCTAAAGCTGCTTTGTTGGCTCATACAGTGAAAAAATGGAAACCAGTCCCGTGGCTGAACTGCCATCACAGCTACCATCACACAGCTTGCGTTGCGGCATCAAGCAGCCGACCGCACAAAACAACGACCAAAACCAGAACAAAAGATATGCTCGAAGCTTCGTCTTTTCGCTTGTGGCTATGAGTGATCTGCACACAATTTCAATTTCCACAGTTCTGTTCTCACAATTCGACTGAACTGACAGAACTGAACCAAGTGTTATCTAGCTAGCTATCATAGCTAGCTAGCTAATTGGCGACTGTCTTGAAGAATGCCATCCACAAGCAGAAGCAGTCGAAGCAACAGCAGAAGCCGACGGAGCAGCAGACAAACTGCCAATCATGCCCGGAATAATAATAATATTGCAAATATTGGATCAAGGTACTCCCGAAGGCAACGGCTGCGTGACGACCGTTCCACTGTCTCTGTGTTGACTGAAGAAGAAGGACAAGCTACCCGTACGAATGCGACTATGAATACGAATACGAATAGGAATACCCGTACACCACCAAACCCACCCACCAGCGCTGTCCATGGAAATGCCCATGGCGCTACTGGCAATGCAAGTGCAGGCGGCAATACAGGTGCCACCCCGGCTGAGATCGCGTACCGCAAGTTTGAAGTTATTCGAGGCGCTTTCCTGGGAGCTCTGGACGACGTAAGGCAAGCCGTTCAAACGACCATTCAAGAAAACGAGAGAGAAGAAGACAGCAGTGCTGCAGTCACACACAATCAAGGCACCAATGACAACCAGTCCGTCCGGTCGCGCAGATCTACCGGTACCGGTATGGGTAGCCGAAGTGCCTATTCTGGCTACAGTGGATTCTCAGCATTGGGGTTCATTTCCCTGCAGCCTCACAATCCCATGGGGCGGTCCGCCAATGACAGTCAAGTGCACGGCATAGATGATTCCATGGGAGACATTTCACACATTCGTAGACGGGAACAGGATTCTCTAGATGATGGCAGTGATTTGGGGGAATTCAGCCATCCTTCCGATTGTACCACCTGTGCCGATGCCCGCGTCTTTTCCAGATCCATTGCCGTACTCAGATTCGCCATTTTTGCAGATGCTATCAATTCACAAGTCCTAGGACCAAACTACGCTCTACTCGTACAAGCCGATGGACATGAAGACTCATTCACTACTACTGAACCGTTCCAGTTTGCAGGAGGTAAGAACCAAAAAGGAAATATTGAACCTACATGATGATCTTTTCGGGACCAGCCAAGCTTATCCCACCTCTCTTGATGACTTGTCTTCTGATCTTCTTCGTCATCTTCAATGCTTCAGCCTACTATTTCATTCCCATGACAGCCGATGTGGGCATGGTCCTTTCCTCCATTCTCATGGGATACTACTCGGATCAACCACACGTTGGACGCACAAAATGCATTCTCGCTTGCATGTACGTGGGAGCTGTGGGGTCCATTCTCAAGTTTCTTGCACGAGACTCCTTCTGGACATTTTGTGCCGCCAACTTCTTCACCGGACTTTTTGGGGGGTCGCTCGCCGTGGGAATGGCATACGTGTCCGATGTTTTCAATGACAGAATGCAAACCGATGCCGAAATTGGAATGATTGTCGCCACAAACATGATTGGAAGAACGGGAGGTGGAGTCATTGCCATTGCCATGCAGAAAATGGGACTGTTCGTGCCACTCTGGGTATCGGCTGCCGTTAGTGCTTTGGCTGGAGTGCTCTGTCATTTGTTCATGTACGATGCCATTGACAAACATGACGTGGATAGCTTCGGATACTACGAGGATGATGATCAAAATGAGGAGTCACAACAGGACGACGGTCATGACGAAGAAGAACAGAACGACAACAACAACAACAACAACACCGACAATGCCAACAACACTCTGACGGAGGGCAGTAGCAAAGCTCCGTCCAACGACAACATCAATAACGGTACAAGGAGCGGACTTGCATCGTCGCTCCGTTCGACTAGCCTGATTCGAGATGCCAGCACGACAACCTCCGAAAGCCCCATTTTGGGAGGGTTCGGATACTACGGAGGAGCCGATTACAGCCAATACGATGAAGAGGACGGAAACTATCCCACCAAATTAGATTACCGGACACTATGGAACATTCTCGCTGGTGAATTGACCGACAACTTGGGATCCATCGGGTTGGTGCCCATTTGTCTGTCGCCTCTCATGTTCCAAACATTCTACGCACAATTCGTCGAAAACGACCAAGAGCCAATCATGAGCGCCAATGCGTACAAGTACATTTACGTCTTTATTGCCGTCATTGTCGTGCCCGGAGCTGTCATTGCACCGTTGCTATTTCAAAAGTTTGGACCGGCTTTGTGTGCAGTCGGCGCCAATCTACTCACCGGGGCCGTTACATTGATTCTTCTACAAATTGCAACACTGCCGGATCAACCCACCTCTGCATCCTATGCTGCCTTTGTCTCGGTGCTGTACTTGTCGTTTCCACTCACGGTTATCAGTCAACTGTCGACGGGCCCCATGCTCGATCGGATCGCACCACTCCATCAACGAGGACAGATTCAAGGCCTCAACATGGCTGCCATGAACTTGGCTGGCGCCCTTGGCCCCTTTTTATATGGAATCTTGTCCGATGCCACGTCGACCAGTGTCACTCTTTACACGTCATCGGCGGTGTCGGCATTGGCAGCTCTGGTGAACTACATGTTGGTTGGAGACGAACGTTTCGGGCCGCAGACAGAGGACGATGACGAGGGATACCCCATACGGGCATCGAGTGCAGCTGGTGATATTGCCGAAGACTTGGCATCGCGGTTGGATTCGGTTGCGAATAGTACGCCATCGGACCGTCACAGTCGGTCGATCTTGCCATCGACGACGACTCGATCGGTGGGTTCCATGGCACAGGATCTTCACGTCGAATTTATGCCTTCGATTTTCTAGCTAGGGGTGGCTACCTGTACGTACAGTACCGGTCGAGCATCTATTCGACGTACTGTACCGGTACTGTACGGTACCGGTACGGGAGGGTTGTGCTGGCCGTTCAAACCTGCCTTTGCTCCTACGTGTAACGCATGTAGCAGGTTCTTGTAGTGCTTACCGGTACCTAGCTAGTATGGCACGTGTTGGACCAAGATTTCTATTACAGCTAGCTCGGATTCGATTGATTTATCATTCGCGCGCCATTCGCCGAACAAAGAATGCACTCTGTTCTTGTTGTCTCGGGCTGATTGGGCAATGATACAGTGCGTGCTGGCAACTTCCGCGTAGGTTGTTCCTCTTGAGGCTCAATTTAAAAATACTACTATTACTGTGATGATTGATTACTAGGTTTGACTCGACTCGACTCAACTCAACTCGACGCAGACTTTGTCTTCATTGAAATGAAAAGCAAACTTGCTTTGGTATTTTAAAATTGGGAAGCGAAGCAAATCAAGCAGAGAAGTTGAAACAGAAATGTCGAGTCGATTCGAGACTGCACTCCGACGGCATCGCGACACAAAAGCACTTTGTTTACCAGTTAGGCAAAGCATAGAACGAAGCCTGGTTAGCTTCGAGTAGCTACACAGAACGAAGACTCGAGTCGAGTCAGTCACATCTATTCTGGTGGAAGGGACTTCAATACGCGTGTTCCACAACTAGCTAGTCTACCATCTCTACTCTTATCAGCGCATGAAGACGAAATGGATAATGGTAAATGCAATACAGTAGTGGTTTATTGTTTTATGGAAAGCATCACGCAGGTACGCAGATGTATGTCTGTACATGAGATTGCTGATGGATCGACTGGATGGATAGGATTGAATATTGATTGAGTGTGGCCGTGATTCAAGCACAGCCAGTGAATCGAATCGAATCGAATTGGATCATCGATCCATCAAAAGCGACGGAGAAGGAAGTTGAGTGCAGTGTTGATTCTTGTAGATTTGGAATGGAAGGAACTGGAATCAATTTGTCGTGTCACTGCATACATGCTCTCTTTTGAAAATTAATCTTTGACCCGACAGACCATAATAGCGAGTAGGTAAATGGCGGCGACGGGAACAATGGCAATGAATTTTTCGGCATGTGTGAGCAAATGTTCGGCTCCCACAAAGATGGCAAAGCTAGCGGAGAGTACCGCAAGGAGTGCAACCAAACTGAAACTGGTTCCAGCTCCGAGTGTCGTGTCAAAGAATGGGTAGAAGAATTGTGGTCCATGTTTGGGATCGGTCCATCGGTACATCATTGCGTAAGTGAATAGGAGGTAGATGATCCCGTAAAGTGGGGGAAATGCAAAGTCACACAATCGGACGGGCAATCCTCCCAAGAGACCGACTTCGATAAGCGCGGCAATGCTGTTCAGGTTGTGTTGTAGTAGAGCTCCCGTGGCTTTGAGTAGTTTGATGTTTTCTCCGTGTTCCTGTGCAATGGGCCATAGTGCGTACTTGACAACGGCACTGACGAGAATGGAAACGGATGCTCCGACTTGCCAAAGCACAATGGCAACGCGCAATAGCCAAGGACTGATGTAAGTGCCCGGGATAAAGTGCATGACTGGAATGGCGGCCGCGAGTAGAAATGCCGTTCCTTCGACAATCCAGCACCAGAGTGTGAAAGTGGCAATGCACTTGAATCCGCTGAAAAAGTTTCCTTCTTCCGTAAGAGCTCCTCGAAAGGGGATGCGCTTGACGACTCGTAGCTTGGATCCGGGAATGTAATCCGTGTCTGCTTCCCACTGTCCATACAAGTAAACAGATGCGGCATTTCCCAGCATGACTCCGGCCAAGCAGAGACGAACCAGAATGACGAGTGCCAAAGGAAAACTCTCAAAGTTAGCGTGGATAAAAGTTTCCACGGTGGCGACTTGGTCGAGTGATTCGAGTGTCGGCAAGTGTGCGACAAAGAAAGCGGTCAATACACCGATAAGTACTTGAGTGTGCCACGGGACTGGGTGTGGTGTAGCAGGACCATCAACTTCCACGACGACTTGGCTGCCCACATAGGTAGTCTCATCTCCACAGAAACTGTTGTGCATTCCGGTACCGACGCTGTTGGAACCCACGTAACTGCGCGTGTCGTAGCTGAGCTTGTCCATTTCGGGGGTCCGATCAAACTCGTGACTCATTCTGGGGGCAGCCAGACAGACCAACTTTTTGAGTCCCTTGCTTGTGCGCTTCATGAAGCTTGGTCGACTGCTACTAGCACTACCATTAGCAGTACCATTAGCAGTATTCACGCTCATCATCATGCTGCCGTTGCTGTTGCTACCATTGCCATTGCTGTTCTTGAATAGACCGCTACGCCGACTGGCACTTCCACTACTAGCACTTCCACTCTCGCCAAACAAAGATCGCTCACTGCCCCGACTGTTACTGTCATTCCCGCTGCGGCGTTTCATACTAGTAGCTCCTTCAGGCATCTTGTTAATCGACTTAACTTAACTCTTGACTTAGCTAGCTTGTAGGTGATGTTGCTGCTACTAGCTAGTATGCTGATGTTCCGGTTTTGGTTTTGGCCAAAGTCAATTTATGAGCTCCCAACCAAATTGATGGAGTTTGGAGATTGGAGACCTTCTGTTGCCGTCTGTTCCTGTTTGAGATCTTCTGGGCTCTCTGCTGGCTAGCTAACTAGCTAGGCAGCATGCATTTTATTTGTCCGCTTCTCACTGGGATAAATATGGGATTTGGCCGCTTTTCTATCAATCGTTAATCGAGTGACCTATCAATGACCCTTTCTACTTCTACTCCACACCGTAGAATTTAACGGATCCCGGTTCCAAATCCGGAACATACTATACAAAATTCAGTACAATGTCATGGACCTTCAGTGGTTGGCGAAACCGGAACATACTATAAAAAATACAGTATCGTGCACAATTACTCGCCGGTCATGCCACGCGCCAGACATAATCTCATTGTCTCATTGTCTCAGTTCTCAGTGTCTCAGAGAAGACCAAGACTAGATACTGGAGTACAGTGTCCATTATAATGAAAGGAACAAAGGAACCCGTCCAGTAAATGTCCCATTCATAAGCCTCAAGATGAGGAATTAAACTTTTGCTGCTCCTCCCCTCGAGCCAAGCAAAACCGGAACATGTGAACATGTCACTGTTTGATGTGTGGTCTTCTGGTCTTCTTCTGTATTCATTTATTTATTTGTGACTGATAACAAAATGGTCAAAGCAACTCAGATCCTCGAAGCCGTCTCATTTTACTGTACCAGTACACTGTAGAGTCCCATGCTCTCGTCAAAAGCTAGCTAGACTACATTGTCATGTACTGTGCTACAATAGCCAACGATACCTGGAGCCTGGAGCTCGGCCGCAGCTCGAGCCGCAGAAAATTAATAGTTTGATCAGGGTCGGAAGGGTACAGATGTACAGATGATGCAGATAGATGATGATGATACCGTTAGCTAGATAGAGCGGGGATCCAAATAAATTGAAGCAACAGGTGACTATTAGCGGCGCATACGGAGACGTTCCAAGCCGGTACCAGATATCTACCTTTACAGCCAGCTGTCCTGTATTAGCTAAAGTACATCTACCGGTAGATAGATAGATAGCTAACTTGCTAATATATGGGAAACTTGCGGAGACCGCTTGAAGATGGTGTCTTCGCATCAGCTTTGGCTGGGCTTCAGCGAAAAGTGAATTCACTGTGTGCAAGGGCGAGCGCCAGGAATGTACAGATGTCAACGATCAGGTGACACGGATGCATGCAAGCATCGCTCACAACCGGTCGTACCGTACATGGCTGCTCCTCTCTTGCTTAATCGAATTTCCAGCTGGCAAAACCATTGCGGGGAAATAGCAGGGCAGTAAGCTAAAGTAGCCACAAACAATGCAGAGGACCTTGAGCCATGGCACAACCCCGAATCGATGTCCGACTTGCTTGAAATAGGCAATGGCTGCCCATACGGTACAGTAGTACATCTCAGCTCAGCTAGAAGCAAGTCCACTTTTTGTGATTCCAAAGTGGCCGAGTTGACGCTCTGGGCACTTGCCGAGCAGGTAAAGCAGTGGGTGTGGGGTCAAATAAAATGTCGTCCTTCTCCCTTTGCGGAGCGGATCCTTGATTTTCAGTGTTGACAAGACATCGTGGGCCATGTCAGTATTATCAAAACGCGTTTCGTCAGCACGCCAGGAGCCGCTCTTTCGGGAATCTACTTGGGCCTTCATCCATTCCAACTTGGCCCAGTCGTCTTGAATCCGCCGACAGTAGGCCGCTCCACCTATTTCATTCTCCATGACAACTGCGTGAAGCCACCTATCCCATAGTGGAGATCGCGTCTCTCGGAACTTGTTTTGTATGCCTCGTTCATCGTGTTCCACTGGATGCGGCGTCCAAGTACGGTTCCCCAGCATCTCCCTCGTCAGCTCTTCCACATTCTTCAACAAGTTCGTTGGCAACACTCTTGTTCGTAAGACTTCTCCTCCGAACTTTGTAAACACAAGGCTGGACGGATGTCCTTCAAAGAGGAGCGTTGGGTTTTGCTTCCTGTAGAGTGCTTCGTATCCAATGGACACGTGCGAACGGCACTCTCTCGACCCGGCGATCATACTCATCTTGTCTGGCCGTGATGGAGTACACGTAGGTGGATTGTAAGGGAGGCTTATGCTTTGACCGAATGCCGCGCAAACATCATGCCACGCGGTCACATTGTTCGTGGAAGGATAGAGACTTCCGAGCGACCAACCGTTTCTCAACATGAGTTTGGAAACAGCCATTTCTCCCTCGATTACTGCAAGTAGCTTGGGCAAGTCGCACGTCCTCTGCAAAATATCCGACACGGTTCGAACCAAAGAGTTGGACCGCAACCGCATCGTCATGGCGTAGCTCTGTACATGGGCGCCTGCTTCCGCACTCAAGATTGGTCCGACCAACGTCGTGGCTTGGTTCGCAGCGAATTTGCCGAGGAAGGGCAGAAACCAGACAGGAACTTCAGCAGCAGCAGCACTACCGCTATACACGCTCGCGGAGCGAAACGACGATTGCGAAACTTTGTGGGCATAATCGCCAGAAACAAAAGGTCCACGAACGCCATCGTTGAGAAAGAGCACAAAGCTCGTCGGCCCTATCGTGAGGTTCGCAGAGTCCAACCATCGACCATGTTGACAAAGGTCCGTAGAACTTTGCTCACGAAACGAGATATGCACATTTGGAAAATGCCCGGGAATCACGTAATCTCGATATCGATGCTTGGCCGCCCCAATGGAATGAAAATACACATCCGGGGATGGGAGATGTCCTGAGACCGTGAAATAGAACTGCACCGATAGAGGCGACTTGAACACCGCTTCTTGGATGAAGAATTCGAGGTTCAAGCGTTTGTTTTGGACCTCACCGGGGAACTCTGTTCCGGCGGTTGCAAAGACATAGTGCACCAAGAGTTGAAACGTGTCGCCATTTTGTTGTAGAAGTGCGCGGGATTGCTGCATGTCATTGTGAGCCTTTGCATTTGGCAACGACCGGCAGGTTGCATTCATGGAGCAAACGAGATCATCAAGTGGTTCTTGCCAGTCCAGCATGTTGCAAAAATGATTCGTTCGTTGTATTGGCTGTGGAATGCCGCCATTTGGACATTCGACCCACGGGCAGGTTGCGTTCCAATCGCTATTAATAATCCACTTGTTTTCATCTTGTTCGATGGGTAGATGCAGCAAGCTCCAATTCTGCATATTTGACACCGGTATCGGTTCGTGTATATGTGTGGAACTCGTACTAGTACCGGTACCGATATTCAGCCAGCAAGCAACGATCGGGAAGCCGGCGGCCGTAAGGAGCAACGTCAAGAGTGCATGGAAGGCATTTTCCCATGGGAAGCACTTGGAACCACTCTTTCGTCTGCTAGAGTTGTTGTTAGTACGAGCCGTAGCATCTCGATCGCTGCATTTGAATGCGGTGTACTCAGCAGTTCCGGTACCGGTACCGGTACCGGTACCGGTGGATGGGGACGAAGGAACCGATCGTAAACGAGCGGTCAGGGCTCCACGCATCTTTGCGATGAATGATTCAATTCAATTCAATCGCGATGCAAAGCTACCAACCCGTCAATCAGCGGATGTTACCTCACATCAGACACCAAGAGAGATTGAGGCAGCTCGATGAATGATTGAAAATCAAAATCTTGACAACACATGAGCACATTGACACGCAAACAAGCACAAGGCGCACCTCGGGGTCGGCGCACCTCTTTACGTGGGAGTCAATAGTCTATGAAGGTTAGGGTTGGTAACTACCGTTACGTACCGATTCGATTCGATTCGATTCGATTCATCATTCATTGAGAACTCCACCGCTCGTGCTCCGCAAAGCTGACGGAGGAGTGGAAATAGAAGAGCATGGACGATGATGCAGCTGGTACTATGCAAGTCTTATTCATCAATGAACGAGTTAAGGCTTGATCATGGCTGCTTCCAGAATCATCGAATCCGATCCGCCAAACAAGCAGTTCTCTTCTCCTCCCCCTAGCTAGCTAGCTAGTAGTACTAGTAGCTAGTCTACCTACCCTGACCATCATCAAGAAACAATATGACCTAGCTAGCTAGTAGTAGCCACTACATGTACTCCTAGTAGCACTAGCTCTCTAGAGAGATTGCGGATTGCATGCATGTGCAATGTGCACGTAGCCAAAAGCCGTGTCCCCCCATTCAGCCATTCAGTCAGGCAACAACAAAAACTATACTGTACACTGTACACAAATACAGTACAATGGAGAATGGAGGAGCAGTGGAAAATAGGCATAAATCCGACGCCCAACAAACGGGAACGGTTTCCAATTTTCTAATTTGTCCTGGCTTCTTTTGAAAACAGGTGATGCCAGAAGGTGGCAGAAAGAAGGTTGCGGCAACTTTTTGTTGTACTTGCGGGAAAATAATGCTGTCTTGACGTTCATCTACAGTGAGCTATTGATGCACCAGGGAGTCACGTCTCCGCGGCTTCAAACCACCAAACAACAATCATTATTTTTGCAGCCCACTACTGTCGCCACTGGCAAGCACCAATGTTGCAAGTGCACAGCAAGGTTTCATTTAATTAAAATATTACACCAGGGGTAGCTGGCAGCTGTCTGCCTCTGGTTTACCTTGCTTCATAATACTCGTGTTCATTTCAGCGTGCAGTGTGCCGTAACTCTGGCGTTTCCTTGCAGCTAGTAGTACCTGGTAGCTTCTCGTCTAGAAAATTGATACATGTACTGTGGCTACTAGCTACCAGGTACTAGTAGACTAGTATGATAGCTATGAGGATAATGATGCAAGCCAATTGCAACGATGGGTTTTTTAAAGTAGCTGAGGACGCATTGAACTCAAATCAACCAAGCCGAGCCATTTTCCGTAGATATCCACCTGCATACATGACATTGTACTCTAAAAGCTTATTACGGAGCCCACTACCGTACGACTCACACCACCTATGGGGGCACAACTTGTAAAAGACTTAGTAGTGAAGCAAGTGAGTTGAAGCCGGGGTCGGCTGGCTTTGAGCGAGAATCTGATCGGCGACTTGCAAGCTAGACTAGACTAATTCCCGCAATTAAGAATCAGGTAGTATTAAATAGAATAGACTGTGAATTTTGTGCAGGCAGGACAGAGAGAACTCACTATCAAAATGAGTATTAAAGCACTGCTCTGTTGTAAATGACTGTGACTGACCACTGGACAGACGGTGAAGTCATGAAGTCTGGAAGTCTGAGGTCTGGGACCTGGGACTTGGGACTGCTCGAGAGCTGTTGTTCCGAATTTCCAATAAAAGTCCGCTAGCTAGCTGGTGGTTGCAGTCATCGAAGGGATCGTTTATCTACTGACACATCCACTCAACACTCAACACTCAACCGAACCACTGGTTGGACCGGACCTGCCTCTGATCACATCAACTACTAGCTAGAGTAGTCTAACTCAACCCCATTTCTCACACGAACCCAAACCAAGTCAATCAGTTGACCTAGCTAGCTGCTATTAATAGTCAAGTTCAGTTCCTATTTTCAAGATATTTTCAAGTCAATTCAAGATGTCCAGCATGTATTTTGGAGGCAAGCTGATAACGAGCAATACTACTATTAATAGTAACACTGGTACTAACAAGAATGGAGAAGAGGGGTATCCGGATCCTGATGAAGAAGCCTGGATGGATGGGAGTCAAGCTCAGGACTCTTCAATGAGCGGTTACGATGACGACGACGAAGAGTTGGACGGGTCGGACCTTCAGAGTCGTGCAGCGAAAGAGACGAGAAAAACATTGGCTAGCAAGGAAAACAAGGCCGTGATCTGTCTACGTTACTTTGTACTGTTTGTGCTGATGTCCACGGCTGTTGCCGTCTCCTTGGCTACTTTTTTCTATTCTCGATCCGTGGAACACGATTCTTTTCAAGCGGAATTTGCGTCTGTGGCCGTTGTCACGCTGCGCAGTTTTGTCGAAGCCGTCGAACACAAACTCAGTTCTCTCGATGCCATGGCCACTGGAATCACTAGTCATGCCATTAGAACTGGAGAAACTTTTCCAAATGTCACCATTCCTGATTTTGAAGTCAAAGGAGCCACACTCAGGACTCAAACTGATTCCATTTACATGTTCTGGATGCCTCTAGTCACTGATCAAGACAGGTTGGGCTATGAAGCTTACACTCAAATGATGCAGGCACAAATATTTGGGTCTTTTATCTCTGAAGAAGGATTCAGAATGTATCAAGATGCTTACTTTAATGTTTCCATTCCCACTCCTCCACCTGAACCTGAACCTCAACCTCAACCTGAACCTACTCAAGAAGAACCTGAAGTTACTCAAGAACAACCTCTAGAAACTCAAGAAGAAACTGAAGTTACGCTGGATGAACAAGGAAACCAGAGAAGAAATCTACATGTCGCTCCTCCAGATATTCACCCATTGCTACATGACACCATTTGGGGACTCAACGTAAGTACCGCACAGTACAGTACTCAAACCCAAGAGATCATTCAGTTCATTCATTCCATTCTATCATACAGTTTATTTTTTGCTAGACTATGCTATGGATATTCATCTCATCTCATTCCATCCTTTTTCATCATTTGATTTCGTTTTCTATTTCTATTTTTTAGCCACCCTTCACGGACGAAGCATGGCCCGAACCATATGGTACAGGACCGTACCTTCCGGCCTGGCAGCTATCCCCCTCAATTCCATTGCCTTCTGTAAACAACTTCAATATGCTCGATTACGCCGATTTGGCTCCCATGATGCGACAATCTCTAGACACTGGAAGAGCTGTACTTTCCTATCTGCAAACAAACCATTCCGGGGCCGCCACTGAAGATCTCATTCGAATTTTTCTATCTCTCAACCAATACCGACACCAAAACGTCGATTACAATGCCGATCCCATGACACAAGTATCATATCCCGTTTTCGACGGATTCAATCCCATCACCAGAAATGTTTCCGGAATACTGCTCACGACCATCTTTTGGAGACTACTCTTCCAAGATATCCTGCCCGAAAACGTACAAGGAGTCATTTGCGTACTCGGTAATACACTCGGAGAACAGGTCACGTACAGAATTGACGGAAAAGAAGTATCCTACGTCGGACCAGGAGACCTACACGACAACAAGTACAACCACATGGTCGTCACAAGAGACATTTCCGAATACATTACCCAACGAGCAGGAGTCAACTCGGCTTCCTACACATTCGTCGAACTCGATGTTGGCTACACGTCATACTCCATTCACGTATACCCATCCCAAGACATGGAAAATTCATACATCACAAAAGATCCCATCCTATACGCCATCGTTGTCGCGTTCATCTTCGTTTTCACATCCGCCGTATTCATCACATACGATCGATGCGTCGAAAAACGACAGAAATTAGTCATGGAAACTGCTGTACGATCCACGTCCATTGTCACGTCGCTATTCCCACAAGCGGTGCATGATCGACTCTTTGGAAAAATTGAAGAACCAAGTGAATCCGTCGCAGACGCAAAAGGAGACACGTGGAAAAACATGGACGATCCAAATGGTGTCAGTGGAAACATGCATCTACGAACGCTGCAACACCAAGACAATGACGACAACGACAACAACAATAACACTGATCCGGCACAAGCGCCTCTCCCATCCATACAAGAAATGATGGAAGAACAACAAAACGATCTACGAAATCCAGAGTCGTCACCAGGATTCACATTGGACAAGGCGGGGAAAATTCCACTCGAAAAGAAGAAAAAGAAAAAGGGAAAAGCCATCGCCGACAAATTTCAAAGCACAACCGTATTCTTTGCTGGTAAGTACCAGTACCTGGTACAGTGGTGAATGGAGGAATGAATGAATGACAAAGGGCGCCAAAAACCTCGATGGAGCCGGGGCTCGTGTTGCATGTCGATTCGATTGCACGATCGTTGTGTTCTCGATTGGGAAGTGCCGCTATTAATATGCTATTCGCTAACTACTCTCCTTTTGTTCGCTTTGCATGAATGCAGATCTAGCTGGATTCACCCAGTAAGTTGAGCAGTTCTGCACCAGTAGCTATCGATAGCGCTTGCATGTCCGCCTTTAAAATTGTGTCCGAATCGACTGGACAAAGTGCAAAACAACTTCGAATCTCTCTCAAACTGCTTCCGTCGTTGCCGCCATGGTTTGATTTCAATTTCTTTCAATTCAATTCGTCCAACCCAACAGGTGGTCGAGCACTCGTGAACCGGAACATGTATTTGAACTGCTCGAGGCTCTGTGTGAGTGGCGGTCGCGTACTAGAAGCTTCCAAGTTTGATCTTGCCATTCGGATCCCGGAGCAAACGCATGTTCTCACCACTATGCGTATACGCTCACATACACCTCTTCCTTTCATCACGACATAATAAACCTGCGCAAAACAGATGGTGCTTTCGATCGAATAGCCCTGCGGAGAACGGTCTTCAAGGTTGAAACTGTAAGTGGGGATGGGTTGCGCGAATGCGTCGTCGATCCAATGTATTATGAATCCGCTGGTCTCACAACCCGAACTTTCTGGTTCCTGTCGCTTCTTGGACAGATTGGTAAATACACGACTTTTTGTTGCGGCTGCTTTCCCAGCCGCTGATACTTCTGGCCAGCATTTGTGTTGCTCACCGCGTTCCTCGATCGAACCCTTACCCTCCATCCTTTACGCGTCAATGCAACAGGTGATTGGTACGTTCACCATTTTGCAGCCAATCGCATGACTTTCCTGGGCAGCGCGACACTCACAGAATCCGGCCATTCCAACGCACACCCCGTTTCATTCTCTACGATTTCGCAGCTATATGGTAAGTAGTCCATTGCTGCTTTTGTTGCGTGAATACGGAAGAGCGAATCCTCTAATGCCTCTGGCTTGTTCTATACACCAGGCCGTTACCGGGGTGCCCAACCCACAACCGGATCATGCTATTCGCATGATCAAGTTCGCTCGCGATTGTATGATGAAGATGGACCGCATCTTGGAAAAGCTAGTCCCCTCGCTAGGAGAAGATACGCTCAACTTGAAAATGAGAGTCGGATGTCACAGCGGCCCAGTTACGGTACGTTCCAAGCGGTGATTCGTGATGTGCTTGCTCCAACTGCGTCTAACGCAAGTTCTTTTCTTGCCCCTTGTAACTTCTGGTAGGCTGGTGTCCTCAGGTAGGAGACAACAGCATCATCCAGAAAAGATTCTTGGTTTGGCTTTCAATCCATCGTCTCAACGTTCTTGCTCGCTCGGTTCACTTGTTGAACGCAGAGGCGACAAAGGCCGGTTCCAATTGTTCGGTAAGAATATCTTTTGCAATTGGTTTGGTCTTCAGTAGAGACGATCGACGTATTGACCAATTAAGGGCTCAACGATTCCTGTTTCTTGTCGTCACGGTCAATTTCCAGGAGACACAGGTAGGCGACTGTATCTTGGTTCATTCATCCATGCAGTCCTTCAAGTACTTTTCTTACCTGAGGGCGTATCCTTCGTTTTTGTCCTCAGTAAACACGGCTTCTCGTATGGAATCGAACGGAGGTATGTCATGTAGTTGCCATGGTCCCCTTGCGTTTGTTGAACTGACGCGTCTAACCGCTCGAGTTATCCCATGCTGTAATCTGCAGTGAAGGGGCGCATTCACGTGTCAGAAGCCTGCGCCGACCTGTTGCCAACCAAGTGGTTGACAAGAAGAGAAGACAAGGTTGTTGCCAAAGGAAAAGGGGAAATGCAAACGTACGTCTGCGTTTGTCAACTCCGTATCAAGCTTTGTCCGTTTCCTTATCATGATGTTGCCTCCTACTTAGGTACTGGGTGGATGCATCGGAAGGAGCTCGGTCTGAGTTTAGCGCTCTGAGTGCTCTTAGCAGCCTTAGTGCAGTGGAGGAAAACAAGCCATTAATGATTGGAAGCAAGAACATTGAAAAGGAGCAGTACGAGGAACTGCTTGGAAGCAAGCACTTGAATGTAGATTTGGAGGATCTGGACTTCTCAATTTCAGACATTGGTGACATTGAACGATCACAATCAATGCTGTCCGACATTAGCGAAGGTGGTGACCTCGAGGCACAAGATAGTACACAAAAGGGGACAATAACGTCGAACAGTCTTCTAGGAGACTTGTCGTTGTCAGAGTCTTCGTTGTCAGAGGCTGATTTGTTCATGAACGAGCCTGTGAAGAAACGTTCTAATGCAGGGAAAGCAGCAAGAGAAACGACTGCAACAAGGAACCTGGCAATTGGCATGCAAGAAGAGCCTTTCAGAAACGAGCCAGGGCAAACGAAATCAAAGAGTTCCACTTTCATCACGATCGGTAGCATGTTAGTGGATGCAATGAACTTGAAGAATGAAATAGAGGTGTGATCCAGTCATTGGGGACAAGGCTGCAGAGATGTGTTGCTGGAACCAGTGCAGCTTAATTGTCACCTCTGTAATGAATTATACATAGTTCAGAAGTAGAGCGTGTTAGGGTGTGTTAGGTGGCATACAATTGGCCACACCTGTGAAACATTTTACGCATTCACTTTTTAAGACAGGTCACGGCAAAATCCAAGCCGCCGTCTGTCCGTCACCAGTCAAAATGTGAGGTGAACAAAAATTTGTTTTATTCGCGCATCCTATTCTTAAGATTAATACGTATCCAGCGATGTATTGATCATATCTGTCCGACGTCTAGTTACAGAGAAGGGGCTAACCGACAGATCTAAGTCTCTTGTTGCGATTCGGTTAATCGTGCAGCATTGGCTGACTCCCACACCGATCCGACCACTCTTACACGATTATTCGCACTATCGAAACTGCTTCCAAGCAAACCAAAGATGGCCAAATAGACGCCTTTTTTGTCACCATGACTAGCCTTTCAACCCTTGCAAGCCCTTCCGCTACCCCTACAAACGTCCTAACCATCAGCCCTGTGAGGAAAATCCACTCAAAGGAGATCAGAGAGAAGATTTTGAGGGGAGATCGATGCAAGATTACAGTCAACGTGAAGGCACTCAAGGGGTGTAAAATACTCATTAGTTTAACAAACTATGGCCACGGAGTGGCTTTTGTGACGCGGGCAAGTGGTGGGGAAGCCCCCACCTAGCTGAGTCGTCATCTACTTATTTGCCCAATCAACATGACCTCATCCACTGGCCCAACGTGGAGCCAGCACCAAGTAGACAGATGCCCTGGGTAGGGGGGTGAGCACATTGATAGGGAACCTGCAGCGCAAAACCTGGGTTACAGGGGCTTACACAGGATTTTTGTCGGTATTGAAACCATTATCACCATAGGACCGTGAGGACCAGTTAGATTCCAGACCAAAGAGTGCTCCCAGTAAGTGTGTCTGGGGGATCAGGTCCCAAGCTGTGCAAGGCCTTGGCATGCAAGGCAAGATGCCAGCAGAGCCCGAGGAGGTGGTACTCCTCAGGCTGGACCAGAGCAGGGTGTAACCCATCCAATGCACAAAAATTGTTAGATAGAGGCCAACAAGCAGGCGAAGATGGGGTCAAATGAACCACTGGCAGTGTGTGGTTCCCAGGAGGGAGGCACAGTGGCTGCTGGAGTGTGTGGCTGTTCGAGGGGTTGTGAGTCAATAGAAGGAGGATAAGGGGGCATGGAAGTGGGCTGGTGCCGGGGCAGGAGGGGAGTCCTGTTGGTGTTGAGTGTTGTTGTAGGAGTTGGGATGTAGCATGGTTGATGGTGTGTTGTAGGATAGAGGCGTGCCTCTGTCAAGGGTGAGAACAAAGGCATCCTCCCTGATAGGGTAGGGTGTGATTCGGAAGGTGTGATCCTCAAGATGGCTGCATGCTCTAGGAGCTGTTGGCTGATCATCTGGGGAGTGTGGTTGTGTAGTCTGCGGAGGATGTGGATGTGGTTGGTTGGGTGAAGTTGGGAGTGGGGGAATGTCTGGAGGACCTTGGGTTTGAGTGAAGTGTGGTAGACATGGGGAAGTATGGTGGGTGGTAGGTGGGTTGGTGGGAGAGTTGGTATCCTGGAGTATTGACTGTAGTGTCGTTGCTTCAACGAAGCAATGGAGGTTGTTGTGGGTGGCGAGATGATTGATGAGAAGGGTGTATTCAAGGGGCAATGCACTGAGGCACTGGTAATCAAGGTTATATCAAGTTGTTGTTGTTGTTGCCACTGGATCAAAGGCTGTGGCCAAGTCTGGTGCAGTATACACTACCTGCAGGAGAAGGGAAGATGGTATCAGAGCCAAAGGCTGTTAGGGATTCTTTCAGGGAAAACTGGAGAAGTCACGCTATAGCCAGTAGAGGCAGTGGTGGGGGGATCAAGGGGTGTTGTTGGTTGATGGGGCTGTATTACTGTATGACACTGTGTTGTCTCAAAGGCTGGTACTCAATCTGTTGTAGTGACCGATGCTATCAATGCAACAGAGAGTCAAGCCAAGATGTGGAGAGGGTACTCAATTCAGCTCAAAAGTACAAGTGTGCTGAAGAGTCACTCAACAATCAATGAGAGAGAGAAAGAGTCAGTTATGTATTAATATCTATGCCACACCACGCTGCAGTTCTGTCTGGGGCTCAATCCTTTGGAGTACCACACTCAGTAGGAGAGTCAGGTGCAGTAGCAGAGAGGTGGCGGTGTCAATGAAGTGTTGCACAATCTAGCCTCAACCGAGAGGGGCAACTTTTGTAGTTTGTTCTTGTGGAGGTGAGGTCCTTTGGAGAGGAGCTGGATATCCCAGGGAGAAGGCTGACGAGGCCAAGCCTGGTGTCCAAGGAAGGAAACTATGCTCAGTAACTCCGACGAAAAAGCTGAGTCAGTATCCAACTTGTAACCAACTCAAGTCCTTACAGGGACTCTGTTGTTGTTTGTTGTTCCTCTTGGGGAGGAGTTAGATATCAATGGAGGGGTGGTAACAGTAGCAGGTGTTGATCAGTCAATCAGTCTGTATAGGGATAGGACTGGTTGGATCAGTAGGATCAGTTCCAACAAGGACGTTGGGAGAAACCACTAGTGGCCGGTGAGAAAGTAAGAATACAGGTGTAATTCTCTTCTTGGTGGTCACTGCAGGTATCTCGTGAAGTCCTTCTTGATGACAGTAGGCTGCGTACGGAGGAAGAGGTACGTATCGGAGGAGAGGTACGGTCACGGGAAGATTGATCGATTCACGGAGTAGCGAGTCTTGGATCCGATTCGATTCGTTGAATCGATTCGCGATTCGGGTGAGTCAGTTGCCTTAGGGGTAAGGTTAACTGAACCTGTTGTTGCTGCGGAAAGATCGTTCGATCGTACGAAAAAGAGGATCGACAATGGGATTTCGATGGCCGTCAGGAGCGTAGCTGAAAAAACAACAAATAGATATGGGAATTGTTTTCTGTGCTATGCTGGGGAAGACCGGTGACTTCTTCTTGTGTTCAAATTCTTCCAACTTGGCCGTCGGCGGTCGAGAATAGAAAACCCGCCCGATCTCGTAGGATTTCAATTGGGATGGCTTTCTAATCTGAACCGGGGAAGGCCGCTTTGATAGTCGCTTGATAGGAGAGGTGCACTTGATAGGAGATACCAGAGGAGGTGTCGATCCTGTCAACCGGAGGGCTTGAATGAGAGATAAAGAGAGGAAAAAGGGGTGTATGTTTTCCGTGATGACGTTGAGTTGAATCCTATAGTAAAACAGTACTCTTCAACAAGATAACAGAAAACAGGCTTCCTGAGGTCCTTTCGCTTCGTTTCAATGCTTCTAATGGTGCTAATAGGTAGTGTAATGGTATAGGTATGACCGATTGGTTGTGTTTGTTGCTATTAGTGTTGTTGTTCTTGTAGTGACAGATCCAGAGGGGAAGCGCTTCGGTGTTCGGCTTCCCGTGGAAAAGTGGATGAAACTGTAAACAATCGAACCCTGGAGTGGTTCAACGACAAGTACAGTACCTATGGAGCCGTCAAGGCAAGCCGTCAAGGCAACCCGTGGTCCCAAGCATGACTACTTGGGGATGACGGTGGACTTTTCTGATCCAGGCAAGGTAGTCATTGACATGATTGACTATCTTAAGAAGATGATCTTGGAGTTCCCGGTGGACTTCGAGCAAATGAAGAAGGTGTCCAGTGCGGCACCTGCCGATTTATTCAGTTCTGGTGATGGAGCTGTTCTGGATGACAAAAACAGGGAGACTTACCATACCTTTGCAGCCAAGCTGTTGTTTCTGTGCAAGCGTGCTCGACCAGATGTGCAGACTCTCACTACTGTGTTATGCACTCGTGTCAGAAGCCCAACATCTGATGATTGGGACAAGTTGGTCCAAGGCCTCAAGACCAGAGAAATTTATCAAACAAATGCAGCCAAGCTGTTGTTCGTGTGCAAGAGAGTGCTAACGTGAGGAAATACTACTTGAATAGAGGGATCTTGTAGAGGTAGCTACCACCCAACGAGATCAGCTGCAACTATTCAAGACGAGTGCAAGGTAAATGCAAAGTTCGCTTCTTAGTAATTCATAATCTGTGTTGTGAGCTTTGATTGATGCGATCAGTAAAGCTAGTTCGTAGCGTGTTAGATCAATGCATCGTGGTAGTTGATCTTGATTCATACGGAAGTCAACGTGGTATTTGCGGGAAACGGTTCATTGGCAGGATGCTTTACTCCTGTGGAATACTCCAATTTACCGTGTCCTTTGGTTTCGTTGAGAACATGTTCTTGCCAGCGTTCTCTGTTCCATCGTGTTGACTCGTAAAGCATGACTCAATCTACTCACGGATACTCTGAGTCGTGGGAGGAACTGTAACGCTTTCACTCCCCTCAGTGGCGACTGTCGACTCTGAGTGTTTCTTACCGCAATCCTTGGTATCTCCTGACCAAAACAGTAGTGCATTCAGCATAGGCCATACCGATGTATAGTCCCAGTGTTTGCTGAGGATATCTGCAGGGTTAGTAGATCCAGGGATATGATGAAATCTCAAGATACTTGCAGCAACAGCTTCCCTAGTACGGTGGTAGGAAAGCGCATTGTGTCTTTTGAGAATCTTTGAGTGTGGCATTGAGGCGGTCTCGTTGTCTCCAAACATCATGGTCGGCGTGTCGACCAGTACTCCTAGGTACCTGAATGTGCTTCGTAGGTCAATGATCTGCTCAGTGGCGGTACGGGCTGCAACATATTCAGATCCGAACGTTGCGGTCTCGACTGTTGACTGTAGCTTGCTGAACCAGTCGATGGGAGTTTTGTTCGCGAGGTGCAGAACTCCGGTAACTGACCGTCCACTGATGAGATCGTGGTAGAGGTTCGCATCCACATATGATGTGAGAATGACCCGTTTGCCTCGAGGTACCGGTGCGTTGTGCGGTTGAACTTCTTTGGCACCATGGTAGCATGAGTACTCCCATTCGTACTCTTTCTTAGGAATCGCTGAGTAATCCGGTTCCTCCT